TATAATATAAATATAATAGATTTATAATTTTACTTTCTCTAGCTCTCTTTAAAGGCTAGAAAACCCCTATATCTATTTATATAAGAGAAGCTTCTCTTCTCTCTTTAGTTAATTCTTCTTATATTAAATTTAGGCTTTTACTCTATATACTTAGCATTTGCCTCATAATACCTTTAGGGTTAAAAACCCTTCAGATGGCCCGTATTCACTCATTTTCCTAGTGAGAACCATAAGGGTAGGCTTAAAAGAAAGCTGAGATCAAGGCGGTTAATATGCTAGCGCGATTATTCAATTTGGACGGTTATAGCAAAAGTTATAGGTGAATTCGTGAAGTCGAGTATACTTAAAAGTTAGTAGATGCTAGCGTCCGATTTTCGTCTTAAAGAGGGAGCGTAGGCTAAGCCTAAATGGGACACTATCTTTTAATCTTTTACGTTCTTTACTATATTCGGAGCATTATAGTATAAGATGCTATAGTGATTTAGGCTTGTGACTATATATATAGTGATTAGTGGGTGTTTTATTAAATTGTTTTAGGTACATCCTAAAGTAGCCGTGTTATAGCTTAAGCTGGAAAAAGGCGCTAGCAGTGGATCTAGCCGTTTTAGGAAGCTGTATTTAAGAGTGAATTCGTGAGTTGAAAAAGTTGAAGTAGTGGCCTTTACTGCTAGCTAGAGCATTCGCCTACGCATATCATTGGATTTAGTTAATTTTTATGCCTATATAGGCATAGCTTGTATAGGCAGCCAGGGCGGTCTGGGTGGTCGGAAGTGATTTGGACCCTAATTTGGCTAGTTTGTCCGCCTCTTTATTTCTATTGATATCTTGATGTCCAGGGACCCACTCTATTGCTAGCGTGGATCCGTTTTAGGCTATTTTAGTAGCGGCTGCAATAGCGCGTAGCTAGTGAATTTAGCCCGGATTATCAGAAGGCCGCGCTAGCCTATAAATGGCGGCTTGGTTATCTATATACACCTGAATATCCCTATTTAGGCCTAGTCTTGTTGCATCTTCGAATACTAGAGTAATGCCTTCTAGCTCTCTATTATAAATAATTTGGTAGGGACCTATATTTCGGGCTAGTCGTATAAAAGGGCGACTAGCGCATTTGTAGCCCGCTAGTCCCACTCTAATTCCGGTGCTTTTAGGCATTTACGACTTATCTAAGTAGTATAACACCTAATTTAGCGATTATAACCGTATTTGCCGGCGGTGTATCATAGCAGTTTCCTCTTTTGGCAATTTGGCGATTCGTGTGTCCCAGGGGATAAAGCAGTCCTACGGGGCAAAGTGGAAGTGGTATATAGGTTCAATTTTGCTGCTAAGCAGGGGTGCGATAGTCCTAGCAATTATCTAAAGTCTGTATCCTAAATGGCTGGATTTAGCAATTTAGCGATTTACTAGGTGGTCTAGACTTAGCTTAGCTAGCTGAAAAGCGTATTTGCAAGTGGCTGTATCTAGTCGTATTACGGGCGGTGGGAGGCTAGCTTTGACTTCTATGGCCTGAATTAGACTAGTCCGAAAAGTGCCTAGGATTTTGCGTAGTGCTAAATTTTAGAGGTGCTATAGGTGGTCTTTTATATATACTTAGCCTCGCCACTAAATTAGTAATATATAGTCGGATATACTAGTAATATAAGCTAGGTATAGCTATCTAAAAGCGGTGGGACTAAGCCCTCGTTCGCTATTAGCTAGCCTAGACATACATCCGAATGCAGACTTAGCCTTAGTAGTGCGGATAGTGATATGCTCCTTAAATTGTAATAGAGCATTAAAGTGAATGCCAAGCCACTTAACTATCTACTTTAGGGGGACTATAGTCCCATCTAGGAGTATAAGGGGCGCTAGCTTAGCGCGTTCGCCTGTGCTAAAGTGAATCAGTTTAGACTTTTTTAGGTCGAATTAGATTACGTTTTTACTAGCTAGCTGAAATAGCTCTTTAGCTACTAGCTATAGTATCTTAACGTTTTTATAGGGGCTAGTTAATATGAAAGAGAGAGTGATATTATCTATATAAGAGATAAATTTAACTATATATAACCTAAATAGGCCTTATATATAGATTAAGAAAAGGATAGGCGAAATAGGGCTTCCTTATAGGATTCCGGTCTAAATAGGCTAGTTTTTATCCGATTATCTATTAAATAGAAGCTTAAGTGACTGCCCGCTTATAAAGGATGAGACCCACTTAATAACCGAATCGGGAAAGGCTAAATCCTTAAGAATTATAAGTAGCCGGTTCTTAGACATGTAGTTATATGCCCCTTTTACGTCTAGTAGAAGCGTACTAGTGATTTTATTTTATAGCTGATTTATATGGACATAATCCGCTAGCATAGCGCCTGCGTCTATAGCCGACTTTTTAAGTCAGCCACCGATTTAGCTAGGATGCAGCAGATTTGGTGTGGTTTTAGCTAAGTAGGCTAGTCGCTTAGCTAGGATCCTTTCGCTAACTTTTCCTAGGCAATTTAGGAGTAAAATAGGTCGATAGGCGCTAGGCTGCTTATAGTCTAGTTTATTGTTTTTACGCAGTATAGCGCAATTCGCTTAGCGCTAGCACTTCGGATAATAGCTAGTGTTTACTAGCGTCTTAAAAAGGAGTGAAATCTGGGAAGAGCATGCTAAATATATATAGGTAATAATAGTTTAAGTAATATAGTTCAGGCTAGGGCTAGTGGATTTAATTTCACTAGAACAGGCTTATTTTACTTCGTCTAGTGCTAGCTTTAGCCACTGCCACTAGTCTAAGGCGGTGTATAACGTCCAATTCAGGCTAGCTGTTTCAGGAGGTGGAAGGAAAAGCGTCTAGCAGAAGAGGTCGCATTTAGCAGTAAATATAGTTACAAATTAGGTGGCAGAAAGCTTTAGATTTAGGACTAGTTCTAACCGCCTTAACTTCATATAGGCTAAGGCTTTAAAAATCGATTTAGAATCCTCTTTTTCTAAAAACTGGTTCTAGTGATCCTTTTTTGCTATTTTAATGGCCTAAAAGTATATATTGCAGGCGCTAGTATAGCGCTTATTTGATTAGCTGGAAAACGCTTGCTTAGAGGCCTCTCTAGCCTGATTTATGTCGCGTTAAAGTGATTTTAGTAAATCGTTCCACTAAGGCTTAGCGTGTAGCGCTAACCGGATTTGGGGTATGGCATCGTGTGTAGCGTATAAAATGGCGCTAGTATAACGTTCCGCCATATCATCTAGACGGTCTAGGGTTGCTTTATAGCTGCGTTTTGCGTTGATTTATTCTAAGCTTTTTAAGCTTGAATTAGAGCTTAAAATATAGCTATAGGCCTGTAGCTCATTTTAGAGCGGTGATAGCTAGCAGAAAAGTTTTTCCCTAAATTTAGTCTAATCTGCCTGTTTTATATTAAAACGGGTAGTTTATAGATCTGCTAGTCCTATTTAGGAACTATTAATAGTAAATGTAATCCTAAAATGGTCTAAGCCTATATTATCCACTATAGCCTAGTCCTAAATATAATTAGCTATAGATTAATGCACTAGCGTAAGGTCGATATTCGTTGGCCTCTATATATAGAGGCGGTGGAAGGTGCTAATACTAGGGGTATTTAAGAGGGCTAAATCATAGTAGTCGATCCAGTCTGCTAGCGTATTACCTTCTTTGTTACATGCCTTATATAGGGGGTCCCACTACGGGTTGTAGGCATTAAAGTCCCTATAAAAGACCAAATTAAGAGGCGGTAAGAGCTACTATAGGCATCGGGCTAGCATATAGGTGTCCGAATCGGGTAATTAGTGCTTTTTATTATAAATATTATAAATCTTAATTATATAATCTTAATCTATAACATCTAAGGCTTAGAAGTCTAAATCGTTTAGCGAATCCAAGGCTAGAACAACTCTAGGGCAGTATGACCTGGTAATATAAGCTATTATGCGTAGTGTGATATCTAGGCTAGGCCTATTTAGGAAGAGTTAGGTAAATAAGGGGTGGGAAATTAATCGTATTTTATCTACATTACATATAATAAAGGGCTCTTAAACTAGTATAATATCTATATCTAGCTTAATTGCTACTTATAGCGCGGATTCCGTATTATAGGCAGCTAAATTTAGATTTACTTAGAGGATTTTAGTGCTAGCGTCTATTATAGAGAGGACATGGGAGCCTTTAAGTAGATGCTCTAATAGACTTTATATAGAGCAGAGCTAGCTGCATATAGACCTCTATAATTGGCGCATTTATATATTAGGTGATTACATCTACCCTTAGCATTACATATAGAGCATGCATGCTATTTCATCTGATGTTTTTCCCTATATAGCTAGCACTTAGCCTCTTTGCAGCAGTAGTGTGATAAGTGTCTATAGGCTTAACACCTAGTGCATTAGGTAGTAGGACGTGTCATATAGTGTTTTTCGCATTATATGGAAATGCTAGCTATATATAGCCTATTTCAGACGGCCGCGCTAGCCTCTTTAGGCGTAGCAAATGCAATTGCCACGGATCCAGCTATCTATTTTAGGCGATTTTCAGCTGATATGATCTAGTATAGCTATCCTAAAGGGGTTAGACCCTTATTAAAAGTCCGTATTTCATCCTTAACTAGCTCTATGCCTTCTAGATAGTTAAAAATAGAAGTGGGGATCCTATAGGCAATGATTTTATGCCATGTAACATCTTTCTAAGCGGTATAGCCTAGTATTAAATGCATCTAGATATCAGATTTAGCAAGTAGGAAGTCAGCTAAGTAAGCCTATATAGTTATAACTACTAGATTGGCCTAAAGGGACTTAGACACTAAAAGCACTATAGGGTCTTTTACTCCTTTGCTAGTAAAAGCTCTATTTAGAGTATTATAGGTAGTAAGAGGCTGAAAATTATTATTTTAGGCTATAGTATCCTTAATTAGGATTACGCGGCAGCTAGTAAGAGGCTTTTTTATAGCTAGCTTTAGTAGTAAGAACTTTTTAGTAGAATTAACTAAAATCCAGTTCAAATTAGAGTTAGCAGACTTAGCTGCAGCTGCATATATCCGATTTTAAGTGGTTTTTAGCTAGGAAGCGATTTTCGGCCTATTTAGGCAGTCTAAGACGGCTGCGCTAGGCCCTTTCAGGTTGACTTGCGGGCAGGTAGTTAGTTTCAGGGCAATTTGCTAGGCGGTGGCTTCTAGCTTTTAACTAGCGGATTCTATATGCGTGATCTTATTAGCTAGAATAGCTGAAACCTTCTTAATAGAGCCTTTTTTAAGGTATTTACAGAAGATTTTAATTAAATCAAGTATTTAGTCCTATTTTAGGCGGTCTGGTTTAGCAGCTGCAGCTTTAACTAGGAGGTTACATGCCTCTATAATAGCCTTATTTAAAGGTGAATCTATAGTAAACCTTAGATTTTTAGCCGGATTAGGAAGCGGTATAGCTAGCCTCTTCTTTGTGGTAAAGGTAAAAGCGTTGCTATAGTAACCGTTTTATTGTTTATTAATATTTTAGTAGCTACAGCTAGCGGAAGGGGCTGTATATGTAAAAATAGACGCATCTAATGCGACTTTTAGCTAGTTGCCGTCCTATGCTAGGCCTTCTAGCTTATCTATACTAAATAATGTATTATATATAGTATCTATTACTATATTGTTATCTTCTGCCGCTATAGACTATAGGGGTAGGAGGGCGGGGGGTAAGAAGGAGAGGGAGGGAGGTAGTTAGGAGGCCTTTAGGGTTAAAAACCCTTCAGATGACCTGCATTTACTTATTTTCCTAGTGAGAACTATAAGGGTAGGCTTAAAAGAAAGCTGAGATCAGGGCGGTTAATATGCTAGCGCGATTGTTTGATTTAGACGGTTGTGGCAAAAGTTATAGGTAAATTCGTAAGGGTCTAAATCTTTTGCTTTATTTAGAGTATTATTCCTGCAGCTATTACTAGTGCGTATTAGAGCTATTATTATATCCCTTTTACTATCTTTTACTAAGGTTATAGAGTAATTATAGAGATATATAGTCACTATTATTTTTATCCTAGATTTCTTATTCTTCTCTTTCTATCTCTTATTTAATACTTTAAACTAATCTATTTCTTCTAAGTTAGTTATAATTTGCTTTACTTTTAAAGCAAACTTATAGTAGTCTATTACTTTAGCTATAGAGGCTATATATATATAGATAGGGTTTAAGAAGGTGTTTTAAAAGTAGCTAATTATCACAGGGCGAATGCTAAGTATATAGAGCAAAAGCCTGAATTTAATATAAGAAGAATTAACTAAAGAGAAAAGAGAAGCTTCTCTTATATAGATAGATATAAGGGTTTTCTAGCCTCTAAAGAGAGCTAGAGGAAGTAAAATTATAGACTTATTATATTTATATTATATATATAAAGATATATA